AAACAATATAGCAGGTATCACATCAGGACTCAAAAAAGAGGAAAACTCCAGGAGGCCAATGGAAGCAACACCAGGCCTCTAGGGGGTCTAGCCAACCCCATATCTGATGACCTCCCTCCTCATCCCAGGCCAGATGGCAGAGCCAGGTCTTCAAGTGAAATGAAGACAAATGAAACAAGACTGGGGACAATGAACAATAGTGTCAATGTAAGAGTGGTGAAAAAGGGGCTGCAGTACCTTTCGGACTAGCAGAAACTAATATTCAGCTCTTCCCTAGAACTGGGTTGATAGGGAAAAAAAACAATATAACAGCATTAACTGCATTTCCTTTCTGTCTTTCTAACACAGAAGTGGAGAAGACTTGATTGATCACTGATTATTCAGATTATTTAAAGATAAGTGCTTTAATAGAATAAATACCTCTGTCTGAACTCCTATCCTTTACCCAAATCAAAATCATGCCTAAAGACACGTAACTATCTTTGCACACACACACCCTATCATCTTGCTGCCCCCTCTTCTTCTCTCTGATAATTCTTCGTTGAAAGTTAGAGCGTAAGCTCTTGGGGCAAGGTCTTTCCTTTTTTTCTTATGTTAGCATTAAGCTCCATAAAGTGTGGCAGTTATTGTTACATCCAGAATTCCATCAAGTGGGTTTGCCAGATGGCCAATAGCAATTACATATCTACAACCACTCAACCTTGATTGCCAAAGTAATGCTCATTTCTCACCCATCTGAACTCTTCCCACAATGCAGGGGAGTCAGAGGTGAGAAGTCGTCATCTCTCCTTTTAAATTTCAAGAACCTGGTACAGCTCTGGGCTCCTTTCCACAACGATCCATTACATATGAGGAATAAGAGCTATAGAATAAAATAACCAAACAAATCACCAGAATATGCAAAATTTGGCTAACATAAATAGGTCAACATCCATCTTTTCTTGGGAAAGAATTTAACACTCTAGATTCAGCATTTCCACTCTTGTCTTGGTCTTGCCTATGCTATAGTTGTTCTGGTGATGTAATACTCCAGGGCACTAGGACAGTGCAAATCCCCCTTTTTTGTGAGTATGTTTTCCCAAAGGTCCTCATGCAGCAAGCACAGCAGTGACTATCCATTGATTCAAATCAAGTTCTTTATGCCTAATATTAAGAAATATTCAGTAATATCTTGATAACACTTTGGAAGCTATGTACAGGTAGTGACCAGCTATCCTCCAATCCCTGTTTATCATTTTAGCTACTGGCTGCAGCCACAACCATATTCCATGGCAAGGAAATTCAATTTCAGCACAAACATCTTCTCCTCATCAGTGCTGGTGGTGTGGCAAACTTCTTTTGCACTAATTTGTGTGCCTGAAAGCTAGGGAGTCAAGTTAGGTTAGGCTCCCCTAACCTAACTTGTTCAGTGCCACTTACTTGCATGGCAGTGTGGGATGATGGAAGGCACATTCATCTCCATTTTTGCAGGCAGGCCAGTATTTGCAGCGCTCAGGAACTTTCTCCACCTTGTGTAAGATGCCTATTTCTTCCATCTCTACTGTGGAGAAAAGCCAACGAAGCAATGTTAAACATCTGGATTGTTCAAGAGTTTTGACCAAAACAATGATTCAAATAGCCTGAAACCATACAGAATTTACAATGAGATTCAGAAAAGTGGAAATATATAGGCGGCTACTAAAATTTCCCTTTTTTTCTCAATCATTTCTCCCAACAATCGCTTCGTCCACACATACACAAACTTTAAAAAGGGAAT